TTTGTGTACTTATTATACCAATTTTCCACGAGCGTAAAGAAAATGTCTTGAGGAAAGGGCCCCAAAAGGGCTAGCACGGGGTGTCCCCTAGGTCAGATGAACAGGGGAATTGTCCATATGATCCATGTCCTCAGCTGTCACCTGGGGGGTAAGGATGCTGAGCAGGAGGGCCAGCCGGCCGTGGCAGGTCATTCATGGGTCTTGCTTTGGCCTTGGGGTTGTGCCCACAGCCCCGGCCCGGGCTCAGGGTTTCAACTCCAAATACCTCATTTTATGTGGTCCCCAGAGGTGACCAGCACCCATCCTCCACTGCCCAGATTCCCAGAAAATGGTGGTGCCAGCTTGGTTGTGAGCACTGGGGGAACACGCTTTCAAAAGGACCCTAAAACTCGGGTCCACTGGTCAGCATTTCCATTCCCCATCAGACAGCTGAATGAGACTCCAAAATCATGGCCAGGGCACTCAGCCAGCCAATGACCTTCAGTGCACCGTGGTGGCTCTTAAACTGTGTTCACAGAGGACGAGATGACCTGTCCATCACACCTGAGCAATCCTGGCAGTGGGCCAGTCCCCCGAGGTTGGGGCTGGAAACACCAGCTGCCTGGCCCTTGGGTCCTTGGGAGGATGTAGCAGGGTCTCAGCTTTCTTCTGCACCCTCACGACCAGCTCCCTGCTGACACCCACCTGGGTCTCATAGACCTACCTCCCCAGTCACATGTCCAGAGGCGGCCTGGTTCTCCCAGCAGCTGTCACCCCTTCCCTGCAGGCATTTCCAGAACATCATCATTTCACTGCTTCTATGTCCTTGAGGTCATCCTCAACTTACCCCCAGTTCTTCCTCCTGGAGAGATGCTCGCAGGGCATGTCAAGCAGGCTCTGGGGAGAGACTGCAGAAGTGATTTGAACAGTCTCAGGGGAGGAGCAGACGGGGACTGCAGCCAGTCTGCACCAGCAGCACCAGCCAGCTCTGTGTCCCCGTCTCCACCCCCAGAGATAAAAGCCCTCAAGGCTGGGTATATGTGAGTGTGTGAGTGGCAGGAGAAAGGAGATACAGGAGGGACTGATGGGCAGTGGATGTGCCTGAGGCCCGAGGCCAAAGACAGACTGATTTGGGGGGCCAGCCCCAGCAGGCATCCCCCCTCAGACCCCTGTCCCGCCCTCAGGATCGCTGGAGTGCAGTGCATGACCGTGCCTGGCTACTCCAAGGGCTTCGGCTACCAGACAGGCCAGAGTTTCTCTGGGGAGTTCGACCACGCCTGGAATGCTGTGCACCTGGAGGGCAGATGGCACCTGGTGGACAGCACCTGGGGCAGCGGTCTGGTGGATACCACCACCTCCAAGTTCACCTTCCTGTAAGTACCAGTCGCAGTTCTTCTGGGTGTCTGGTCAGTGGAAGTGGGGGAGGCACAAGGTTGAAGGAGGCGGCAGGTGGAGAAGGCCGGCGAGGGGAAGGACAGCCAGGTGGCCTCCACCTGCTGCCCGTGCACCCCGCCTTCTGCGCTCTGAGGCGAGCTAGCCTAGGCCGACTGTGAGTGCCCAGGCCTTTCACTGCCTCACCTCCACCGGCTACATCCCCCCCCCTGGCTCCTGCTGCTGCCTCCACCAAAGCCCTGAAGCCTGCAGCATCTGCTCGCCCACAGGACACCTGTGAGGCGAGGCGGGGCAGAGATGCCTCTGTAATTGTCGGTAGGTTCCCCTCAGGCCTTTGGCCCATTGCCTGTATTATTATTTGTGGATGCCAGAATGTTCTCCCACTGCCTCCCTGATGCGGGTTCCTTCTCGCTGGGCTGAGACCACATCACATCTCTGAGGAAAGGGCTATGGCTTTGTGCGGAGAGGTGCCGTCAGTGGATGGCTGGGATGCAGGACTGAACAACATTTCCATGGAATGTGACATCCACCAGCAGCTCAGATTCCTTTTTGTTTGAAAAATGAAAGCATCTTGTCTGATTTTTGCAGCTTAAATCTTGACACCCCCAACCCCAGGACAAACACAAGCCACGTGCACACACGTCCTACATACGGGGCGGCGTGCTCACAGACCCGTCCTTTACCCCTGTTCTCGGAACATTGCTCCCCTTAGGCACAGGGAAGCCCCTGCCATCTCAGACAAGCCTCCCCATCCTTCTCTTGATCCCCATCACTGACCTCCAGGGAGCCACAGAAGCCCCCAGCCACCCAGCTGCACAGGCAGAGACAAGATGGGAGGCAGTGAATTCAAGCATTTTGCCTCTCTGCCTTCCCACAATCCCCCTGCCTGGCACCTGGTCCACAGGTTACTGACACCTTTGCTCCCTTCGAATTTCTGTTTGTCTTTGAGAGCTGGGGGAGCCCATTCCCCTCTGGACACCCTAGGGCATCAGACCTTGCCTTGGCTCCAGTTGCTAGAAGCAGCCACTGAGATGTCTGCAGTGCCCGTATTAGGGTTGGAGATAGTACCTCCTCCCATTCCGGTGTCAACAGGACCCCTCCCGTGAGTGTGTTAGCCAAGAGCAGGCCCCCAAGGTCCTGCTGTGGGAGAGCCCTGCAGGGCAGGTGAGGGTGGCCACTGACCAGCTTTCCCTCCGCTGCAGCTACAACGAGTTCTACTTCCTCACCCACCCCGCGCTGTTCATCGAGGACCACTTCCCAGACAACAAGAACTGGCAGCTCCTGAAACCCCCTCAATCTCTGAGGCAGTTTGAGAACAACATGTACCACAAGAGTGAATTCTACAACAAGGGGATGCTGAGTGCCCACCCGGAGACCCCCATGATCAGAACAGGTAACCCACAGCAGGTGGCTGGGCCAGGGCCTCAGCAAGGGCCCGCGAGCCCAGTGTAGGGCCTGTGGCATGTGTAGGTGTGCGGGGCTCCTGTCGCAGCCAAGGCTGTCAGGCTGTCAGGGCAGAATGTGGCTGTAGGTCCTGTTTGCAAGGACAGAAGCCCATGCGCACTAGCATAAACCGAGAAGGGGACGTGTCAGAGGCTGCAGGTCTCCTTGCACCCTAGGGCCGAGTGCACAGCCCAGCCTGTCACAGGAGCCAGGGAGGAAGGGTCCAGAGCCTGGCGAGTCTCTCTCAGCTTACACAGCAGGAAAAAAGACGGCCTCCACACTGGCTACACGCAACCTCCCCCACAGGTGCCCAATAGAAGCTGTATTCTCATCTCAGACTCCTGGCAGGGAGGACGTGGGGGCCAGGCAGAGCTGGGATCTGTGTGCCAGGGTCCAAACAGCAGGGTTCTCCCAGGACAGGAGGGCAGTTCCATCCTATCCTGCTGGCCCATGGGGGGGTGTCTCATTCCCGAGGTGACAGCTATCATGGGATGGAGTGGCTGGGCAGCCTGGCATAGGTACTTCATGCAGGTTAGATGGAGTCTCAGGAGCACTCAACCTAGAGCCCAGGCACAGCATTCTGCCTCCCCAGCAGGAGCATCTGAGTCCAGGCTGGGGAAAGGTCACCAGTGAGCGTGAGCTGGACAGTCTGTCGCCTTCCCTTGCACTCTTCCATGAACCAGGCTGGGGAGGTTGCTGGGACCAGGGGCAGGTGACCAGCTTCTGAGAGAAGGTGAGGCCAGGCTCTTAGAGAAGCTACTGCCCCTCCCCGTGGTCCTGGGAGCTAGGGAGGGTCAGGCAAGTGATTCCTTGTGGGCTGCAATGACTAGGGAACTGACCGCCTGTCCCTGAAAATCCATGGCCAGGACAGGGGAAGATAGAAGCACAGGGCAGGGGGAGAGGAAGAGGGAAGGGAGAGGCCAAAGACCCCTCCTGTGCATGCACTGAGTCTTCAGAGGTCCATTCCGGAAACACGGCTCAGGCACACGCATGTGAGAAGCATGGTGGGGAAGCACCCTGCACCCACCCTCTGAGCATAGCCCTGTGGAGTGAAGCAACACCAACTAGATTTTAAGATAATGTGTTGACATGACAGCTGTGCACACCCTAATGAATAGATGCGGGAAGGAACGGGGTAAATATGGGACCTGAGACTTGGAGGAGGTGATGTCCTTTCTGCGCCTGGGCCTCTGCTGTGCTCTGGGATCAGGCTAAGCCTTCGACTAATGTGAATCAAATTTTGGGGAGATGAGCACACACAGCTGGGGGCAAAGTTTTCTTGAGACCCCCAACTTTCAGCTTTCTCAAAGAGATCCACCTAAGGGGCAGAGGAACCCTTCCCGGGGTATGCTGCAGCTGGCTGAGACCGTGTTCAGTGACATCATGTTGGTTTCTTAGAATCGATCATGGTGAAAGTATTTACACCACAGAGATGGGTAAACGCTTCAAGTCAGGGCTTTTTCCCGCAGAGAGCCAGTTGTGAAGCATCTACCAGCAATCAGCACATACTGGACCTATGTGTGTCTCACCTGACCCCAACTTCTCTCTCCACAGTGAATGGAAAGGCCACAGTCACCATTGAGAGCTGTGCCCCAACGCTGTTCATGTTTATGCTCAACGGCAAGCAGGAGCACGGGCTGCTGAGCCTTAGGAAGGACGGGATGAAGCTGGAGGTGTATCCTCCTACCCTGGGCACCCACAAGCTGCAGATCTTTGCTAAAGGCAACTCCGACATCTACAGCTCAGTGCTGGAGTACACACTCAAGTGCAACTACGTGGACATGGGTGTCCGGCTGCCAGCTGAGCTTCACCAGCCCGTGGGCCCCAGCTGGTTCTCGGAGCAGATGGGCATTGTGAAGCCCTCCCACCCGGACCCCATCATCCACACCAGCGATGGACGCTGCTCCGTCAGCTTTGGCGTGGAGGAGGGCATCAGCGTCCTGGCTTCCCTGCATGGAGACGACGGCCCTGTCACCGAGGAGACGCAGCGGCGCTACATCTTCCAGCTGCACCGGGAGAAGCGGACCGAGCTGAAAGTCCAGCTGCCCCATGCCGGCAAGTTTGCCCTCAAGATCTTTGTCAAGAAAAGGCAGGAACCGGGCAACTACATCTTTGTCTTCAATTACCTCCTGTGCTGTGCCAACACCAAGGTGAACTGGCCCGTGTTTCCTGAGAGCTTTGGCAACTGGGGGCAGGACAATGAGCTGCTGGAGCCTCTGTCAGGCGTGCTTCCTGCCAACCGGAACATCCCATTCAAATTGAAGCTGCATGGTGTCGCCAAAGCCCTGGTGAAGGGGCAGGACACATGGCCCCTGACCCTGAACCACGAGGGTTACTGGGAGGGCAGCTGCAGCACAGCCGGCTGCCAAGAAGTCTATGTCATGGTGCTGGAGAATGCCAACCACAGCTTCTACTCCTACATCCTCAAGTACAAAGTGAATGCCCAGTGAGGGCCTGTGCCCAGCACACCCTCCCAGAGGCCAAGGCCAGACCTGCCCCGGGAGGGCCCCAGGGCAGTGCAGAGAGCCCTGGACACCACGGAGCCTGCATGCATTCACTCCTGAGCCTCTGCCTCCGTCTCCCTGCTCTGCCGCCAGAGCTATGATGTTTGTGTTCTGAAGGCTTCACTCAGTTGTGGCCTTGGCCGAGGGGATGGAGGCAAAGGCCCTTTAGAAGAAAAAGGTGCTATGTAAATCCAAGGTATTGTAAGCTGTCCACCAGTGCCCAGATGCCCCCTTCTCGTACTAATGCTGCTGCTGTCGTCGTCGTAGGGTCGAGGTGGGAAAGCAAGAATGTCACCCACGCTGAGAGCTTTGCGTGTGATGGGGAGAGGCTTCACCTGCACACCCAAGGAGGAGATGATTTGCAAGGCTGAGTCTTTCTCAAATCATAGAGCTCCTTTCAAGTAACAGCACAGTGTTCCTCACCACCTCCTGACACCCAGGGGATGTTTGACTGTCGTCTCTTCCCAGACCTGACCGTCTTCCACCTTCCTGCTGCCTCTTCATTCGCCACATCTTGCTCTTCAGGAGCCCACGACCAGCTGGAGGCTGGTAGCCTCCACGGTCCCTGTGTTTAGCTGGGAGTGTGACAACCAGAAGACTGTGAGGAAACTGCAAAGCAAGGAGCAGCCAGGGTATACTCCTGGAGGTCACGGGAGGGGCCAGGGGAGGGAGGAACACCACAGGCAGTCCTGCAGCCTGAGTCTAAGTCCAATGCTGTGGCCTTACTGGGCCCTCCAGGCCCCCACCCCCCTCTATAGGGGCCTTGTCAATAGCCCTAAATACAGCCCTGGGCAGGAGATCAGTGAGGCATGCAGCTGTAGCATTGCCACGGGGACTCGCACAGTAATGGGGCTCTGCCTACCCCTGGTGTCCTTACCAGCAAAGCCACCACTGGGGATACCTCCACCTGTCCTGGGAGCAGTTTTGGTGCTTGTCTCTGAGAAAAAGCTCTACCCCATCTCCCTTCCTCTCTTTCTCTGTCCACCTTCTGTGGGGACAGTTCCAGACCCCTCGTTTGCTCAGGCTTGGCCTGATAAGTCTGGCCCACGGCAGCACCTCGGGCTTGCGTTGCCATGGCAACAACAGAAAGGTTGGCTCCAGCCAGGGCAGCTGAGAAGGAGGGATGGATGGAGAGAGGCCTGCGTGTCTGGGGCCGACTTCCTGGCTTCGCCAGCTCTGTGACCCCCAAGAGAGACCAGCTCTGCATAGCACCCCTCCCCACTGCTGCTCCATGTGCCCCAGGCTCAGCTACAGCCAGGGCCAGCCTGGATCCTCATAGCCTTCTCTGCATTCAGCCTCACATCCATGTATCCACAAATGCTCATGGGCACGTAGTAAGTGCCAGGCACTGCAGTAGATGCTGGGACTACAGAGGTGAACCAAGGAGCCCAGCCCCTGCCATCAAGAGCTGAAGGTGGCTGAAGGTGGGTGGACTAGCAGCCTCCCCCACTCCAGGCCTCTCTCAAGTTCCAGGCTCCGACATTTCAGTCCATCATCCCCTAGGGTCCCTCTTCTCAAGGTCCCCACTGCCACTCAGCATGGACCTGGCCCAGAGCCAGTGTACGAGGGTGCCCATCATCCACCAGACTGGGGATCTCCAGCATGAGGGGCATAGCCCTTGGGGGATGAGCTGCCCTGGCCTCTGTCTAGCGCCCTCTGAGGCTTTGCCACTCAGGCCCCCAGCCCATGCTTTGTCACCCACGCCTGAAAAATGCACAAAGGCCCTGAAGACGTAACCACTGTGCACCACCACAGGGAAGCAAGAGGAGATTTTACACCCTGAAAACAGCCTTTTTGCTCATCTTTGATTTTATGAGCTGAAAGAAATGTGCTGTGTTTCATCAAAATAAGAAGTGCCTTCTGTGACTCATGTCACTCACTGGCCCCAGAGCTGACTGCCACGCTAGTCCTGCTGAAGATCTTTTGATAAAAGATGTACCTTTTAATAAACAATATAATTGATCAGTACATTCTGGAGCATGCAGGAGTTGCCGCCTAGCAAAATAGGAGCTGTTCTCAGCACTAGAAAGGAGGCCGCCTCTCAAAGCACCCGCAGGGCATGCCCCTCCCTCCTGGTTAACCAGGCACCCCCTTTGTGAAGACAGCTGTAGGCTGAAAATCACCTGCTTTTCTTTCCACTGAAGTGAGAATACCTGACATGAAACCCAGTCTTCATGAATTTTTACATGCATGCTGCTCAGGGTAGAAATTCGGGGTTGCATTTTGAAGGCTTTTATTCAAATCCTCATCTTTGTTTCCTGGTCGACGAGTCCCAGTTGCCGGTGGAATGGCACGGGCGCCCCCTGGTGGCAGAAATGCGGAGCTGCCGGCGCTGCAAACCTTCGCGAGGCTGGATGCATCACCCGGCTTTACGCAGAACTTGATAAAAATGCTCTTGAGATGTTTATGCTAAAATCGCAGGATGCTTTCTCGTGGCTTCTCTGCGCTTCCTCGTGTGTACACCGAGCACATCTCTGCCAAGCACAAGCTGTGAGGGGACCCCAAGGGACTGCCTGGCGTGGTGAGAAGATATAGAAGGGGGGATAGAAATTAGGAGTGTCGTGCCCAAAAATCTCTTCTTGAAACAGAAACACAGGACGTGGGACTGGATGGGACAGTTCTGACTACACGCATTGCTATGCCAGTGAAGGAACTCAAGAGTGTTTGCTAGCAATTCCCAGTACAGCAGTCCCCAGGCCACAGGCAGAAGGGTGCCAAGGGTACAGGCGGGTGGGGGAGTGGTGGGGCAGAGGGGCTCCAACCACAGCTGCAATTAACTTCTTTTCAGCTTGTTTCAGAAGTGCCACCAGCACAGCTGGGCTCCATTTGCAATCTGATTATGATCATTGTGTGCTCCCCTTATGTTACATTGCCCCACCAAGACAAACTCCTCACAGCCTGCTGAGATTAAAAGGAAATAGATTAACTGAAGTATGAAGGATTTAGGCTAGATGTAAAGAACTACTTCCTGTTGTTAAGCAGGAGGGACACGTTGCCAAGAAAGTTCGTGAAATCCTCTTGTCAAAGGACTTGGAAAGTAGACAAGTCTCCCCAGTGGTCTGGAGTTTCAGATGGCATGCTAACTGGAAGGACGAAATCCTCTCCAAACCAATTACTTTTTGCAATATACCAGTTCGCCCACAGCAAACACAGGGTAACCATATTGCAGAGTCATTTGCAACTGGCAGTTTTCAAAGGTGGCGTGCATCTGTGAACCACATCCATTTATCAGAGGTCTGTAATTCTTTTTATTGGGAATAAGTAGTTGGAAATCTTAAGAGCTGATGACTTCTCTACGTGTGCACTGAGTTGTGTGGGCCGGTGGCTGTTGCGTATGCTTTCCCCACATTGTTGCTGGTGTTGTTTTTCAATAAAATTTATATTCATTTTTATCCAACAATGTAATTATCGATCCAGTCTTATCACTGTTCTCACAAGGAGAGAAAAAAAAAAAAAACAGGAGAAAACACTTTCATGTTCAAAGGGAGCCCGAGGAAAAAAAAAAAATCAATGTCCCAGCCATTTGAATGTGATGGCAGGATGCAGATGGAATGTCAGGCAAATAGCTATTTCACATTAAAGAAAACATAATTAGGTTAGTTCCAGCCCTTTCTGGCTCACAGGCCTTTGAAGAACCTGAAGGCAGGTTCTTTCATTGAATCTTGCTTAACTTGAAATTTTTTAAGTCAATCCTAATTTCTTTTTATAGTGAGAGAAAAAAAATGTACCCCAAATGCCTATCAACCTACTTTTTTTGTTCTGAGCATATATAAATATATATTTCTTGATATTCACGTACATGCAGAAACTTTCTAGCAGGTTACCTACACAGATTATTCATAAATTAGACAGTTATAGCAATATAGAAAATACAAACTTAGACATCTCTGAGAAGCTGCCGTCACCATGGAGACCATTCTCCTAGCTGTAGTGTGAAGGACTAAAACAACTTGTGTTCTCAAATATGGCCTCGCCCTGTCCCTCACTGCTGGGTCCACAAAAATGAGACCAGCGTGCTTCTCCTTAGGACGGAGGCCCACAGTAAACCGTGTCTTCAGCAGCAAGAGGAAGTCAGAAGGGACAGTCTTCCACACAGGAGGAGGAGGAACTCTTGAATTGTTAGAACAGTCTGAAAATGCCAACCCCAGGCCTGGAAGGGGTGACCTCCATCGTCCCTTCCAGTCCGGAGAGTTTGTGATGCCGTGTGTCTGTGAACAGATGCTGGCAGGCGGTGGGCCTGCGGTTGTCAGTTATGGAGCATCTGAAGGGCCCCGCTGTGGAACATCTGAAGGGCCCTGCTGTGTTAAGAGCCTGCCCGAGAGCCCCGGCAGACTGAGCCGCTGGCCCCTGTCTTGCCTGAGGGCAAGAGGCTGGAGAAAGCTCAGCAGAAGGACAAAGGGGAAGCGGACAAGCGGCAGCCTCTGCCATGGTGTTGGTTCTCTCTGACTTAGCAAGCAGAACTAAAGAAAACAAAAGCCAACTGGGGTGTCCTCTTTCAGATGTCCCACAGGCATCTCCAAGTCAAAGGATGATGAACTGAAGTCACTTTTCTCCCCCAGATGACCTCTAACTCCTCCTGGGCCCACAACTCAGTAAATGCATCCCCATCCACCCAGGAACCGAAGTCAGACTCATGGTGGCTGCTGGTGACTCCTCATCCCTCCCCATGCCCCAGTGATGAAATCCAATGCATTCTGGACGCGTCCCCTCTCTGGCCTGCTCTCCAATGCCACCTCCACTCCCTTCCCATAGCCTGCCGTAATTCAGGCCCTCGTCCACTCTCAGCTACACTGTTGTGATTGCTTCTTATGGTGAGATGACCCCCACTGCCCCATTACAGTCCATGTTGGCCACTTATATGAACATCAGGACGACGGGGGATGTTAAAACAAGGTTTCCATGAAAGGCTTCCAGAAGAAGCACACCATCTCTGGAGAAGGCGTGAT